ATGTACAGTGCAAGACTTTTCTATTAGTTAGTACATCTTGAATAACATTTTTGGCTGTCATATATGTATTGAAACCCAGATGTTTGGGATTAAGGAGATGCATTATGATTAAAAATCTAAATTCAATATTTTACAATCAACTTCTATTTTTTTCTCTTTTTCCCAACAAATTAATATTTTTCCAGCTGTAAACAACAAAACTATGCTATAAATTACTTCTTTTTTCAAACATTGTTCATACACAGCAGCAACCTTAAAAACATTGTACCTATAAAGCAATACATACCACCACTAACATGGTACAGGAAATAAACAGCAGTAATTATACAACTCACTGAAAAGTGAATGACCAACTAACATTAAGGATATTTAGTATGACTAAATAAACATATTCCTAATACTACTGTTGCCCTTCATCAAAAATCATACAAATAAATTCAAAACATATATTTGTAAAACATAACTTCGGAAGTAAACTGAATCAGTAAGTATGGTTTGCCCTCCATAATCGCAAGCTCAACATGCATAATTTTTGCTTAATTATATGTATGACAAAATGTCTGAAAAAAGATATAGCAAGAAATCTAAATTATATAAGAAAGTAATTAGAACATTATAAATAAATAAATAATACATTGTCACTTTTATTATGAAAATACTTTATGCAAGCTATAAAACATGACACATACCTGCTAATGCTGGGTTGCATATATGCACTGTAAGTCTAAACTCAGAGACTAGAATGCAAGACTACATTTAATGAGCACCAATTAACTGAGTGTTGGAAATATATTTCTTTCTGATTCAATAATCACCTAAGTTTTAGTGAGGCAGATTTTGGATTGTGCTGATGATAACAATATTCTTAATTTTCTGCAGCAAAACTTCACATTCGCGGCTCATGTAATTTAGCCTTACTTGCCAAATCCTTCTTTAGGTTAATGGGGAAAAATGTATATACTGCATTGCACACCAGCTCTGACTTACTTCAGCTCTCTCCCTCGACCCAACCATAGCATCTTCTACGGTCTCCAGACACCTTTCTAGGGATATAACCACTGATAACAATGTAAACAACCCTCATCCATAACACCAGAAGATTGACAACCTGATATCCACCTCACAAAATAATACAAAGCAAGCATAGCACCTAAGAGACAGACTAAGGAATATAGAAATCCAAGAGGCTACGCCAACTGGTCAGGCACTGGGCAGGCAGTTGGTGGAGGCACATGGCACAGCTACCAACATCAAAAGTTGCATCCCCAGTACCCAGACAGCTCACCATTAATGAGTTAAGAGAACTTTCAAATAACAAAAGCAAACTACATGAGTAAATAAGTACCTACATGAAATACATCGATAGCCGTTCAACTACAAATACACACAGATGAAAAACTGTTAGTAAAGTAACGACTGTGACCATTCGCTTCCACCTACTTGCTAATACAAACAGGGAGCACACGTCTTTATGCAGCCATGTGCCTTGTAAACATAATTTCTACCTCAGTCTGTCAAATATACAGGACAGTCAATATGCATAGTTTTGACATCTGTGCATCTTTCTTAGAGTCTTTTTATATTCAAACCCTTCACTGGTTATTTTTGGTCTTATTAGTGATACACCAATCGCAACCAATATAAGGATTTCACTTTATTAATTAGGGCAAAACTAAATAGATTACAAGTGTACACAATTTCAATTTACTTGGGTTATGTACATTTCATTAATTTCAGGATGGCATAAACTGATATCTAACTTCTTCAGATCTATATGTTTTGTGATTAAAAGGTTATTTCTACAATTTAACTAAACAAAATGGCTCTCTGGGAATGACAATAGACACTAGCCTAAACCGACAGCAACATTACACATAACCAAACTGTTTCATATTCAAAAAGTCGCAAGCCAATTGTATGAACTTGATAACTCAAACCATTATCATCCTAATTAAAAGCTTGTTTGTAAATGAAAAAAATACAGAGACAAAGTCCCAAGACCAGGGTATCATGCTAACCAAACTCCAAACCTAACCTTCCCTACTTTCTACTTGTTCCATAGATCTTGACAAGCCCCCCCCGCATACTCCTTTATCAGAATTTCATGCCTACTTAGAGTAAACACGACATTAAGAATGCGTGGTGGACTTTGTCTCTGAGCGGAGATATGCAGTAGTTATTTTCCAAGAAATTCCGCCCTACATTCCGGCAAGTTAAAGGTAATAGACATATTTAGAGACGTACAGCACTGAGCCTCCGTGTCTGCGAACTCCCCAGCAGAAAACACACCTCCATGTGCATTTTCTAGAGATAGAGCAAGGAGATTTCTCAGGTGGTTTATCATCATATATGGAACTATTTGACTATTTGAAGCTTAGAATACATGTGTTGAATATCTGAATACCTTTCATTTACAGTCTTTAAGGAAAACACTGGTTAATCAGATACACTTCCCTCCGTACCAATCATTCAAGGGACAAAAAGTACTGTTATGAATTTA